ATGGTGCTAGAAGGGGAGAGTAAGAAGAAAATAATTACTTATATTAAGAATGCATGAATTCCCATCCAAGAGTTACAGGATATGTATTAAGGTCTATATGATAGTGGCCTCTTTCAGCAGGATAATGCCCCTTGCCACACTGCAAAAAATTCTATAGGAATGGAACTTGACAAAGAGTTCTCGGTGTTGACTTGGCTTCCAAATAACCCAGATCTGATTGAGCGTCTATGGATGTGCTGGAACACACCAGGACATGACAGGACACTTTCAGAGATCTTGTCAAGCCCATATTGCAATGCATCAGAGCTGTTTTGGCAGAACAATGGGGACCTAAATGATAATAGACAGGTGGTTTTAATGTTGTGGCAGTGATCAGTGTATATACCACCTTAGCAGTTGTCACATGGGTACATCAAATTTGAGTAAAGTTAAAGGAAAGAAGACTTTGAGATAATATAAGTACTAGAGCCAGATAATGAATGAGTGAGGTGTAATGTGCACAATGTTATAAAAAAGAATGAGGTTTGGTTTTATTAGATACTTTGAACAGTCTTCCAATGGACATACTGTAAGTGAAATTCTGTATGTAAAGATAAACTGAAATAGTTTGTACTGAGACGCAACTTTGAGTCGCAACTTTGAGGGAGATTGACAATCTTGAGAGGAGTCTGCTGCTCACTGAGCAGAGTTTAGTGGGGACAGGTAGTGGAGAGGGAGGAGATAATACAGATGGGGAACAGGCATGTAGCTGGGTGACAGTGGGGCGAGGAAGCAGGGTGGGAGGGAAGAGGAAAGGGCTAGCTAGTCCTGATTTGGTGCAACCTAGCAGATTTGCCCATTTGAGGGAAGATGTTGGGAGCATCAGCTCAGGAGTAGCTGTATTAGAGGAAGCTGTTACTTCTAACAGCCGAGCTAACAGCCCCCCTAGTACGGGTGGAGATCAAAAAGTAAGGAAGGCAAGACAGGTTGTGGTGGCAGGGGACTCTATCAATAGGAGAGCAGATAGGGCAATCTGCCGCTCTGATAGGCTCAACCGGACAGTTTGCTGTCTCCCGGGTGCTCAGGTCCGGCATGTTGCTGACAGAGTGGATGGATTATTGGGAGGGGCTGGGGGTGACCCAGCGGTCATGGTCCATGTTGGTACCAATGACAAAGTAAGAGGAAGATGGAAGGTCCTAAAGAATGATTTCAGGGAATTAGGTAGCAAACTTAAGAAAAGGACCTCCAAGGTGGTATTCTCTGAGATATTACCTGTGCCACGCGCTACAGCGGGAGATTTGAGATGTCAATGCGTGGCTTAGGTCTTGGTGCAGGAAGGAGGGTTTTGGGTTTTTAGAGCACTGGGTCGACTTTGCGATTGGGTACAACCTTTATAGTGGTGATGGATTGCACATAAACGGGAGAGGGTCTGCAGTGCTGGGGGATAGGATAGCTAGAAGGTTGGAGGAGATTTTAAACTAGTAGTGGGGGGGAGGGTCATAGCAATCTACAAAATGGAGATAGGACAGAAAGGAGATGGGCTTTAGCACAGTATAAGGGGGGGAGACGGGGGGAGCGGCAAGCTCAGAACAGAGAAGCTATGTAATGATGATAATTCACAAAATATACAAGTGACGCATAATATTAAATGTATGCTTACTAATGCAAGGAGCCTAAATAGCAAAATGGGGGAACTAGAGACTAAACAATATGATATAATAGGCATAACTGAAACATGGTGGGATGAGACATGACTGGGCAGTTAACTTAAATGTTATTTAGGAAGGATAGGAAAAACAAGAAGGGTGGTGGGGTATGTTTGTATGTCAACCATGATTTAAAGCCAAATCTTAAGCAAATGGAATGCGATGAGGAAAATGTGGAAGCTTTATGGGTAAATATCTGCTTTGGGGAAAAGAAGGGAAACCAATTATTGGTTGGGATATGTTATAAACCACCTAATGTTAATATTGACGAGGAACAACAGCTGTTTGAGCAAATTGAGAAAGCTGCAAATCTGGGTAACATTTTAATTATTGGAGATTTTAATTACCCGGACATAAATTGGGACAGAGGGAGCTCAGTAGTAGCTCAGCAAAGGGAATTAGGTTTTTAAACTTGTTAAATGACACCTTCATGTCACAACTTGAACAAGCACCAACTAGAATGGACGCTTGTCTGGACCTGGTTTTAACAAACAACGTTGATCTTTTGACCAACATTCAAGTAGGTGAGCACTTGGGAAATAGTGATCACAATATAGTGTTCTTTGAAATAAACTCAAAAAAACAAAAGCACATGGGGTATACTAAAACATATAATTTTAAAAAGGCCAATTTCGATAAGTTAAGGGAAGCTTTACAATATATTGACTGGCATAAATTCTTTAGTGAAAAGAACACTAAGGATAAATGGATCGTCTTCCAACAAATATTAGAAAGGTACATTTCTCAGTATGTACCATTGGGAAATAAATATAAAAGAAACAAATTAAAACCAATGTGGCTTAGTAGAGAAGTAAAACAAGAGATTAAAAATAAGAAAAGGGCATTTAAAGCATTTAAATCGGATGCATCTTATAAAAGATATAAGGAAGCAAATAATACGTGTAAAAAGGCAATTAGACTTGCTAAACTTCAAAACGAAAAAATTATAGCTAAAGAGAGCAAAACCAACCCCAAAGCATTTTTTAAGTACATAAAAAAAAACAAAAATGAAAGTGTAGGTACACTAAAAACTGAAACGGGAGTGTTAGTTAATGAAGACCAGGAAAAGGCAGGAATTTTAAATAACAATTTCTCCTCTGTATATATTAAGGAAGAACCCATGGCAATAGATCTACAAATGATTGCTACTAAAAACTTGCAGAATAATTGTAATTGGTTAACTCAAGACAAGGTGCTGCAGCAACTAAAGAAAGATAATATAAACAAAGCTCTAGGGCCTGACGGTATCCATCCACGTGTACTTAAGGAACTAAGTGTAGAAATAAGTGAACCTCTGTTTTTAATCTTTCAAGATTCTTTTCTTCCAGGAAGTGTTCCGGAGAATTGGAGGAAGGCAGATGTGGTTCCTATATTCAAAAAGGGTTCAAAATCCTTGCCTGGAAATTATAGACCTGTGAGCTTAACTTCTGTGGCTGGTAAAATATTTGAAATGTTATTAAGGGATAATATTCAAGAATTCCTTGAGAAGAACATGGTTATCAGCAAAAATCAGCATGGTTTTATGAAGCACAGGTCATGTCAAACTAACTTAATTGCATTCTACGAAGTAAGTAGAAGTATACAAAATAATATACTGACGCTAAAAATAATAATAATACAATATAAAAACAGCTGCTGTAACACCTCGATATAATCTTTCTTACTTACACCATTATTGGACCCAGCTGAGGAAGCCGTAGGAGACACGGTGAAACGCGTTCTGGGAAAAATTTTAAGACATTTATCTTTGCCCATTGTAATTTAATAATTTTTAAATTTATTTATAGCTTGTTAACCCTTGAAGGGGGATTTTTTTGTTACATACAATAAAGTTTACAGTATTTAGATTGTGGGCTGTTTGGTTCCTGCTTAAAGGAGTACATCTCCGGTTTACATAACGCGCTGAGACTGAGCCGATACAGAGGCTCCACCTTTGTGAGTATAATACGCATTAAATCACTGAGGAATTTTGAAAATACATACTGCACCATATTTGTGTTACTTAAATTTTAGAGGCGAGTACACAAGATTATTTGATAAGAAGAAGGGGAAGGTCGCCTGCACGGACCTACAAGTGCTTATCCCTGAACTTGGCATTAAGCTCAGGAGGATGTGAGTGAAAAGCTTTATCTTTTATAAATTAGTTTGTCTTATACAGTGTTACACTATTGGAGTTTTTCTCTTATTTTATAGGTATATTTCGTAGGCTTTTTTGGCCCTCCTTTTTGGAATGAATACTCTCTGGGTAAACTCAGCTGAGTTTAATATATGTATGTAGCGCTACACCTTTCCTTGTATTTTGTACTAAGTAGAAGTATAGATCAGGGTGTTGCTGTGGATGTGATCTATTTGGATTTTGCCAAGGCCTTTGATACAGTTCCACACAATAGATTAGTGTTCAAACTCAAGGAAATCGGTCTAGATGAAAATGCTTGTTCTTGGGTAGAACATTGGCTTAAAAACAGAGTACAAAGAGTTGTCATTAATGGTAGATTTTCAAGCTGGACAGAGGTGGCAAGTGGTGTCCCTCAGGGGTCTGTTCTGGGACCCCTTCTATTTAACATGTTTATAAATGATCTTGAAGACAGCATTGAAAGTCATGTTTCAGTGTTTGCAGATGACACAAAACTTTGTAAAATAATACAATGTGAGCAAGATATTACTTTGCTGCAGATGGATTTAGATAGACTGGGTTACTGGGCACTCAAATGGCAGATAAAATTTAATGTTGAAAAATGCAAAGTTATGCACTTCGGCATAAAGAATACACAAGCAACATATACCCTTAATGGAAGCGAATTAGGGATAACAACACACGAAAAGGACTTGGGAATTGTTATAGACAACAAACTATGAAACAATGTGCAATGTCAATCAGCAGTGGCCAAGGCCAGTAAGGTATTGTCATGCATGAAAAAGGGCATTCATTCTCGGGACAAGAATATAATTTTGCCTCTTTATAAATCACTGGTAAGACCCCTTATTGAATATGCTGTGCAATTTTGGGCACCTGTTCTAAAGAAGGATATTATGGCACTAGAAAAAGTGCAGAGGCGGGCTACAAAATTAATAAAAGGAATGGAACATATCAGCTATGAAAAAAGGTTAACAAATTTAAAACTATTTAGTTTAGAAAAACGTCGCCTGAGAGGGGATATGATAACATTATACAAATATATTCGGGGCCAATACAAACCATTGTGTGGAAATCTATTCACAAACCGGACTTTACATAGGACACGAGGCCATGCGTTTAGACTGGAAGAAAGAAGATTTCATCTAAGGCAAAGGAAAGGTTTTTTTACTGTAAGAACAATCAGGATGTGGAATTCTCTGCCTGAAGAAGTGGTTTTATCAGAGTCCATACAGATGTTCAAACGGCTACTAGATGCATACTTGCAAGAACAGAATATTCAATGATATAATTTTTCAATGTAGGGTAATAACTGCTTGATCCAAGGATAAATCTGACTGCCATTCTGGGGTCAAGAAGGAATTTTTTTCCTAGCTTGTTGCAAAATTGTGCTTCAAACTGGGTTTTTTTGTCTTCTTTTGGATCAACAGCAAAAAACAAATGTGAGGAAGGCTGAACTTGATGGACGCAAGTCTCTTTTCAGCTATGTAACATTGTAACTATGTAACTATGAGACAAAAATAGTCTATTTGTTATTCATTTTTTATGATAAACCTTGGAAATCAGAATATAAAAGCTACATTTGGATTCAAACAGGTAGTCTGATGTTTAGCTCTGTATATAAATCAACCAACAATATTGGCAATCAGGTAAGTCACGGTAAATGCAGTATTTGATTGAATATGTTATCGCTACTGTATCCATATTTCACTTACATAATGTGTGAAAACCCAGGGAGACATTAACAGATGTTCAAAAGATTGCTTGAATCACATTGTAGAAAATGCGAAGACTTTGCTTTGTTACACAGCAGCTGTAAAAAGTTGTATAGCTTCAGAAGAACATAATTATGTATTTCCAAAGAAATTGCATAAAAAGAAACCCATCAAAAGCTACTTTATTTAATGCCTCAGTACCAGTGATTCCCTGCTGGCTGTGCATCTGGGCCCTGTTAAAAATCCTGGATTTCTATAGAACTGTACAGAACTGATTATTAACTGTCTATTAACATAATGTTTGACTTTAATGACACCTTCTGTATGTTGCAAATTATATATCATAAAAGAGACATTATTAAATATCTCAGACTCATTATTCTTTTGAAGAGTATTGTCATTGATAAAATACCATATTGTTATTGATAATAATTAAGTAAAGTGTACAAATCTGTTAATATTTAGTTCAAAAGACAGGTTTAAGTGAAATAGTTTAATATGTTCAATATATAGAGAAGTTGATTTATATTATTGCATATTATACTGTATTAATACATTCTTAAAGGTACACTATAGTCACCAGATCAACTACAGCTTTATTTAGTTGTTCTGGTGAGCATAGCCTGTTACTGCAGGCTTTTTGCAGTAAACACTGTCCCTGCCTCCTTGGCCAATCCAGTGATTTACTGTGGAAAAGCATTGTGATTGGCTGACATCATCACTTTTGATGTCAGCCAAGGAGGCAAATCAGGGGCAAAGCTAGCACCAGCAGACTGGAATAAAGGTAAGAATTTACTATATTTATGGGGGCAAGGGAGAGGTTGGTGGGGGGAGTATGTGGGGACAATGAGAGCAGGGGGCTAGATACTGTTTTTAATACTATAGGTTAAGGAATACATGTTTGTGTTCCTGACCCTATAGTGTTCCATTAAAATCAACATTGAGGCATATGTTCACAAACAGGAAGCTCCTGCAGGGTCTAGCAAGCTACTAACAGAGCAGGAGATAAGAAATTCTAAAGTAAACATAACTTGCAGTAAAGGTGTAAACATTAGATGATTCTTTACAGGAAGTGTTTGGGAAGGCTGTGTAAGTCACATACAGATAGGTGTGACTAGCGGTGCATAAACAAAGTGATTTAACTCCTAAATGTCAGAGAATTGAACAGTGAAACTGTGTGGACATGATCTCTACACCAAAGCTGTATCATTAAGTTAAATTTGTTTTGATCACAATAGATGTCCCTTTAAAGAAACATGTGAACTGTTGCCATTTATGAGATATGGTAATGTTAATATATGCTCAATACCGCATCTCTGGCTAGTGACTGGCAATCTAGAAGCCAACAGAGGTGCTCCCTGATGAAAAACATTAAAAAGTAAAGGTCTTTGGCATCATCACTCTCAGCATGATGATGCTGAATGATCTTGGATTCCAAGCTTCTCTATGAGAAATATCTGACAGGCAGAGCATAAAAATTGTTATGCATGCATCCTCTGTTTCCATTGCTTCTCTGAGTTTTATGGGCATTTAAAATGTTTGTTTAAAAATGTGATCTGGGGAGTCAGAAATTTAAACACTAGTGTAAATACTAGTCTAATGTAAAATATATTTATATTTCTAAAATTAGAGTGTTTCTTAACATTTTCTGTTCTTCGAAAATGTATAGACAGTCTATATAGACAGTGGTGGTATATTTTATTTTATTTATATAAGTATAAGAGCAGCATGGGAAACAATAGCAAATGTACAACTTGGAAACAATGTTGTACACCTTCTAGTAATGGGATAGTAAATGAGAAATAAAATAGATGAATATTCAATACAAATGTTATTTTATTCAAAATCAGTGAAATCGAATGTTATGGTGCTCTCTTCAGTTCTACAAAACTGTACATATTTTTTACTATGCTGTATTTGTTTTTTTCATTTATGAAAAAATACTCAATATTCAAAAAGGTACATTTTTAGTTACATAGCTACATAGGCTGAAAAGAGACATGTGTCCAAGTCCAGCCTTCCTCACATCTGTATTTTGCTGTTGATCCAAAAGAAACAAACAAAAAAAAAAAAAACAGTTTGAAGCACTTCTAGTTTCGCAACAAACTAAGAAAAAAATCCCTTTTTGCCCTTAGAACGACAGTCAGATTTTTCCCTGGATCAAGAAGCTATTACCCTACAATTTAAAAATTATATCCTTAACTATTATGTATTTGTAAGTAAGCATCTAGTTGCTGTTTAACCCCTTAAGGACACATGACATACGTGACATGTCATGATTCCCTTTTATTCCAGAAGTTCCTTAAGGGGTTAAACAGATTCTGATAATGCCACTTTGTCAGGCAGATAATTCCACATCCTTATTTTTCTTAATGTAAAAAAACCTTTCCTTTGCCTTACACTAAATCTCCTTTCTTTCAGTCTAAAAAGGTGACCTTGTGTCCTATGTATAATCCTCTTTGTGAATAGAAATCCAGATAGTGGTTTGTTATATGATTGGCTGAGTTGTGCTTTTCTGAATACATAGGTAGATACCACAATTAAGGTTTAAGCAGAGGTAGGGATCATACTATGAGCTCAATATACTAGTTGGCATATAACATACTAGTTATACTCTAATGTCAGTCTTATGACCCGTGCAATTTTTCAGTTGTGTTGCAGGCTGAACTCCTATCATAGTCAGTTCCAGCAATTTTTTCGTTCTTGGTAAAATTGCTGGATTACAAAACATCACTGAGGAAGCCATACACAGATACAAACAGTGAAACATTGTTGATGTCCATAACGACAAAAGAAAATTTTAAAAAGGAAACAATAACTATGGAAGGTTTTATCACATCTCTGTTCTTTCCACTCAATGTACTTATTTATATCACTCTATATATGCTACCCTTTTATAGACTGATATACTAAGAGATGCATATTATGAGCTAAGCTGGAGCAACAATTACAGAAAACATTGGAAGAAAGACTGGAAGAAATTAAGATTTTGTTATAAGTTCATGTTGGAATATAATATTCTTTAAAGTTCTTAACACTTTGGAGGTATCACATAATGTGGGAAAGAGATGGTTTTTGCTAAAATATTCCATAATTCGTTTTAAATATTTTTGGTTACACCGGTGAAAATGAATTTTGATGCCCCAGTTCACCTCCACCAAACAAAATGCATCTTTATCTTTGTGTGTCCCTTAACCATCCTCTTGAATTTCTCACCTCCTTTTGTGTTTCTTATAATCTCTTTTGAAGGTCTTACCCGCTTTAGTGTATCTTATCTCCTTTTTATTACTCTTTACTTTAGTATATCTTATCCACCATTTTCCCTTTTGTGTGTCTCTTTTTTCCCTCAGCCCCTTTGTGTGTATCTTTCTACACAGCCCCTTTGTGTCTCTGACTTCCCTCAGCCCCTTTGTGTATAACTTTTACCCCCAAGCCCCTCTGTTCGCCTCTTCTCCAACCCCTTTTGTGTATCTATGTTTCCTCTTCCCAGCCGCTCTAGTTCTTTTTATCCCCCAGCTCCATTTGTGTGTGTCTTTCTCATCATCCAGTCTTACAGGAAGCTGTTCTGTGGTCCCAGCGAGCATTTCCTGTCAGACCAGTTAGAGTATACATAAGCTCCTCTACAGTGGTCCACTCGGTCACACTACAAGCAATCATTGTTAGAGAGGGAGTCCTGTGCTGTGAGCTCCCCTTCTGCTGGTCAAACAGATCCTGCACCCCCCGGGCTGGTGCGCCCTAAGGCAGTTGTCTGTGCTGCCTTATGGTTGTGTCAGTCATGATAACATATGAACATGTCTACTTTCTCTAGTGCAAATAAACAAAATCATTTGATGAACAGTGCAGAGATTCTTACGCTTTTATGACGAAGTACCACTTAAAACTAGTTTTTCCTTCAAACACATTCTGATTTATTGATGTATAAGGGTTGGAAAACTGTAAGTAATCGTTGGACATGGAACCATACATGACTATAAAATAGATATAGGGTGACAGTGATGGCTAGATAAAGATATAACTAAACAAATATGAACCAAGTTAAAGCACAGGTTTTCTTGTGATTTGTCACCTCACTTGTTTTGCTTTTTGCTAACGACAGCATGCACTTTTAAGTACAGGAGATTGAAATAAAAAATAAATTTAAATGTAATCTTCAACGATTTTGAATATAATTATTGGTATGTCACAGAATGCATTTAAACACATGATATGAAACATCAAGTGCATTAACAAGTCAATGGCCGTGTGTGTATTGTATAAGATAAATATAAAAAAAATAGTCATTAAAATTCTTTCATACATAATTATAAATAAGAAAGTTGTAAAAAGACAAATAAGTGCAAAGAAACACAAAATAATTGAAATTCAACAACATTTTATCCTGTTCTCAATTATTTTTCTGGTACTTGACTGCGATGAAACTCAATTGTGAAACTGAGAATTAATGCTTCTTGACTCTGAATTGGATTTTTCCTTAAATCAACAAGCTATTAATAATTTACATACCAAGTAAGTACTTTACTCCTACGTATAATTCTGTGTCAGAAAAAAAACATTCAGACTATTTTAATGCAAATCGTTGTTTGAGCATGTTAAAAGAGACTCTCTAAATTAAGAATTACACAGTGTATTTTTCATACTGTGAATAGTACACAGTAGTAGTAGAGATGCAAACAACTTCTGCAATAAACTTGCAGAAAAATTGCAATTGGATGGCTCAAGACAATGTGTCACATAAACTACAAAAAGTTAATGGAAACAAACTCCAGGGCCTGATGGTATTCACCTATG